GCGGCGTGGAGCCCGACGAATGACCCCGACGGCGGCAACGCGTCGACGACAGAGCCGCCGCCGGGGTACGTCGTTGCGGCGTGCGCGTACGCGCTCGCGCACAACGAGACGTTCGCAGCCGACGCGGCCGAGTGCGCCGCCTTCTACAGCTGCGTCGGCGGCGTGCGGCGGTTCCGCTGCGCCGCCGGCACCGTCTGGACGCCGTCGAAGGTGAGCTGCCAGCTGCCGGTCGAAGCCGCCAACGACGTCTGCAACTTCGTGTACGTCGCCGCGGCGGCGGCGCCCCCTGCCGACGCCGGCGGGTACACTCCGCCGCCGGACGCGGGGGCGGAGGCGAAGCCGCGCACGCCGCGTCCGCACCCGTTCGCGGTGCGCGAGTGCGGGCGGCTGGACGTGCAGTACGCGGCCGACCCGTCCGCGTGCTCGCGCTTCTACCAGTGTAACAACGGCATCCCCGTACGGCAGAAGTGCGCGCCGGGCAGCATCTGGTCGCCACCGACAACGCAGTGCATGCTGCCATCGCTCGCCTCCAACTCCGCGTGCGGGTACGTGTACCGCGGCCACGCGCCGCCGCCGGACGAGGACGACGACGAGGACGACGAGGATCGGCCGTGGGAGACGGGACCGCAGCCGGAGACGAGCACGCCGGACGTGCTGGGCGCGTGCGAGCAGCTGCGCAAGCAGGCGCGCCACGCGTCCGCGAAGGTGCGCAAGTCCATCGACGAGCTGTGCAACGTGCGGCCGGGTCAAGAGCGCCGGCGCGCCGACAGCGCCGCCGCCGTCGTCGCCGCGACGACGACGATGCTTCCTCTCGCGCTGTCAGTCGCGCTTCTGTGTAGGTGTCGCCACTGACCGCTCGCGATGCTCAGACCCGTCGTCAGAAACGAAATGAGCCTTAGCTTTAGTCTTAACATGTTTTTTCCCTTATAGCCAAAACTTTTTTTCTCGTACATCGTTGACAGAAATGTGGTAAGAGTTACGAGTTTCTCGAAAGGAGTATACAGAGGTCCACTCTACGAGGGAAGGTGAATGTTACAACTAATGTTTTAAAAGATCAATTTCGTTCAGGCCAACGGGCCCCTTGTTTCACCCTATCACCCCTTGTTTCACAAAAAATGCACTATAACGTTGATAGCACATCTAATTTTCTTCTTCATTAGGACTTTATTTTTCAGAGTTGACATGGTGTAACACAGGATTCTCCCCTTGCCTTCAACACACCAGGGGCGGATCCAGAGGGTTTGGGTAACCAGTTTCCATAGTTCTAGTCTCAGCTAGGGGGTCCGGGGGCATGCCCCGCAGGAATTTAAAAAAAATAAGGCTATATTTGGTGCATTCTGGTGAATTTTGAGGGTCAATTCTGAAGATACCCAGCCTGTGACCGGTTTCTGGAAACCGGTGCAAACCGGCCTAAATCCGCGCCTGCACACATTGGGTTCAACATGCTTTCAAAGCTGAGGCTAATTTGTGACACCTCCTAAATCCCGACATGCCTCAATCGTCTAATTAACATGACTTATTTTCCAGCTGTTTACTTTTTGCAATTCCAACACAGTCCAATTTGTACAATTTGTCCAAAACTGACTCCAATTGGTTCAACCCCCTCCTGGGCCTTAATTCCCCTCCTCTATCCATTAATGACGTGCCTTCTGAAATTCTTGGGGAGAACCCTAAAATGGATCGTAACCCACAGACCGCTGATATTTGCCTGGTGTTTTACATTTGCTGGTAGACTAGAGAACTGTGGCACTGTGCTGAGACATCACAGTCACCAACATCACAGCTTCCGCTGGTGCTTTCTCTCATTCTTCTGTGTAGTATGTGTCACGATAATCACTCACTGATCTTCTTTGCTCTCAAAGCAGTCGAAGCAGTACACGGCTGTACCCCCTGCGGCAGTGATCGTTACGAAAAAGGGCTATAACGTTGGCAATGTGTCTGATTTTCCTGCTACATCAGCCCTGCCTGCATATGGACCCCATTTTTCGGAGTTGGCTATTTTGTGGGGTTGAATTGCTGTTAGTCTATACATATACCACACTGAATGATGTTATACATTTAACGTTAGACTAGTGAAAACGTCACAAGAAAACAGCGTGACAGGTATAACTGCGTAGACACCAGTCAGAAACACGTTTTAACTATGGAACATATCTGCCAAGTTTGTTAACTGTGTTTGCAGTCTCTACTTTAATCGCCTCTAGCTGTCTTTCAGGGTCATCCTTAGAATTTATATTTTGCACATTCTCCACGCTCAACCCGCAGGTACAGCTAAAATGAACAGAAATGATCATTTCTATAAATAGCAGCACAGAGAAACAGGTTTCCTGGCTCCTTAAATTGGCAGTGATATCACACTTGATGTGACTGAAGTACCTCTCAACGATCTGCATAATTTATGCAAATGATCACAAGTGTTTTCACGTTCACGGCCCTAACACGAGGTATTGTAAAAAGAAACAAAATATGTGATACCATGGTTAACAACTTAACAGCATGAACATATGCATACTAAACTCGACTAAACGTGTACACTTGTATGTCCACAGTGTAGATATGTTCATGTTAGTATGTGACTATATATAATTAACTATGAAAATTAACAATGTATATATTGCAAAATAAACAATATACTTCTTTTACTAAATAACAATTCTTCGTGTTTCTAAACTATATTGTTATGTCACTCAGTTTTTTTTTAGCAAAACTTACATGCGTAGGAAAGTTGCCGCTCATCTAAAGATGTGGTAGCGTTGATATCGATGACAGCAGCAGATGTGCAGCCAATTAACTCTTCTCAGCACGGGACAGCATCACCTGCCAAATCACAGATTAATTAATTAATTAATTAATTAATTAATAACCCTATGCAGAGCAACTAGTAGCGGTGCAACGTGCAACCATCGGTAGATCCAGGAATGGGTCAGTAGGAGTGAGGTGGGGGTGGGTATCGACGAGGAGGCCAAAAAACACCAGAAAGTTGGGGAATAGAGAGCATTCTAAGCCTTCTCCCGCTGCACCAGACATTCATTTTTTGTGTTTCTGACGTGTCACGCACTAAATTTGGGAAACAAGTAAAACGCATATTTTAAATGTTCATCATGAATACTTCTTTTTTTATTCTTTTTCTTGTAGGTTCTTGTTTTTCTTTTAGTGGGGGGGGGGGTCTAAGGCTCACCCGTGGATCTGCCAGTGCGTGAAACCAACAGGTAAAACTAATAGATAGTTTAATCAAGTCAATACTGTTAGCTTTAACGTTTTGTTTAGTTGAGTCTTTCGGGTCCTAAGAAACTTCGTTATTGGAGACTATAAGGCGTCAGCAATAATTTATATTATTCTCTAGTACGTACTAGTATTACCTGTCACAAATTTAATAATGGTTTAAAGTTACATACGTCTTCATGCAGGTAGATACAACTTCATTTGTCTTATTGGTCTATCACTTATTACCCTTAAGGGCCGGACACACTAGGCGATTAAATCGGGCGACTAAATCGCCGGTGAAATCGCCTAGTCGTGCGTGCGTGCGTGGGTGCATGCGTGTGCACGTACACCTGCGTGCATTCATGCGTGCGTGCGTGTGTATGTAAACGTGCGTGCGTGCGTGCGTACACGTGCGTGTATGTGTGTGTGCACGTACACGTGCGCGCGTGCGTGCGTGTGCACTTACACGTGCGTACATGCGTGCGTGCGTGTGAACGTACACATGCGTGCCTGCGTGTGTGCAGGTACACGTGAGTGCGTGCGTGCGAGCGTGCGTATGCACATATACGTGCGTGCGTGCGTGCGTGTGTACGTTCACCTGCGTGCATGCGTGCGTGCGTGTGCACGTACACGTACACGTGCGTGCGTGCGTGCGTGCGTGTGTGCGCGCGTTTGCATGGAAAACATTTGTGCGTGCATGAATGTGTGCGTGCGTGCGTGCGTGTGCACGTTCACCTGCGTGCCTGCGTGCGTGTGCAGGTACACGTTCGTGCGTGCGTGTGCAGATACACGTGTGTGCGTGCGTGCGTGCGTGTGCACGTACACGTGCGTGCATGCGTGTGCACGTACACGTGTGTGCGTGTGTGTGCAGGTACACGTACGTGCGTGCGTGCGTGCATCGCTATTACATGACATGACATACTAAACATGAAACGCTATTACGTCAGTATCATTGAACAACTCTGATTGGCTGATGAATTGTACAATCGGGCGATTTTATCGCCGGCACCGGACACACTAGGCGATTAAATGGGGCGACTAAATCGCCCGATAATATCAAAACGTTTTGATCTATGCGATTAAATCGGGCGACTAAATCGGCGGCGATTGAGTGGACACACTAGGCGATTTCACCGGCGATTTAGTGGCCCGATTTAATCGCCTAGTGTGTCCGGCCCTTTAGCTGATTCATCGCAACCACGCCTAGCGATTATAAATCCGAACATCAATCGTGAGAATGCAACAAAAGATTGAGCATTGAGTGCGCTACGCCCAACAATGCAAACAATGAGTTATATCTGTGGAATGAATTGCATAGGACTGCGATTCATCAGAGGGAATGAAGGAATTGTGAGAATTTACAAACGATATATTAGTACCCTTCACGACTCAACCCATATCGACACTTAGTTGGATCACCTAACAAAACGCAATATGTTGTGGTAGCAGCTATAACCTTGAGCTACTAGTTTCAAGTGTGAAAACACCGAATGTATTATGACGATGCATAATTATAATTTATTACTCACTCCCGAGAGCAGCGGGCGAACCTATATTGTTTAGTTGCTTATTACAATTGCTTATTGCAATTTACATATTAAAGGATGTACATTGCGTTGGAATTGAAATTAACGCCATGCAGGCTGGTCTATTTACATGCAATGAAGCATGTTTGCATAAGTGAGCCAAGCAAATACTGAACACCATGAGTGATATATACACTAAGATTGATTACAAAGATCGTGTGTGATAACGGGTGTGCCTGTAGGTTGCAAACATTCTGGACTTATATGGGCCCTATACCTGAGGAAGTTAGGCTGATATTAAGCCATATGAATCACTAGTAGATGCAGAAGGTAGCAAATCCCAGTAGTTAGCAAGTGTAAATAAATAAACGCATTATACGTACACCAAGCCACTTGGAAAGACTACACACCAAACACCATAAAGGTAAGTTCTATAATATATACTCCACCTATATGTTCCACATACGGTATATGTTGTGTATTCTCCTATAATCCCCCGCCCCCCCGCGCGAAAAAAGTGCAAGCCTGGTTTTTCCAATAGTTCCAATCTTATATTGCGAGCGTTATATGTTTTAGAATTACTGGGGAATTACTGTGCAATATTTATATGTTGTAGAGTTGTATAAGAACAGTTTCTGTAGCAGACGAGATTGTGAACGACGTTAAGAATATGTTGATAGCAATTAACGTAATTATTAACAAACGTACCACTACAAGTACATATCTCTCTATCGAATAAATTAACTATAATTATGATTACGTACCGGCGGTGTGTGATATATAGATATCTACATAGATGTGAGATACGACAGTGAGTACAGACTAGAGAAGACGTATTGATAAATCACCACCGCCAAAACATACGGGAGAAAATTACTTTTATTGTATGATATAGTTCTTCCTTGTGCTATACACACTATCAAGAGCATATAAAGAAGGTTCTTCTTTATATGCTCTTGACACTATGTGTATACACTAATGCTATCAGCCTGATGCTATGTTATTATACACCGCACCACGACACCAACTGCAACACGCACACACCACGCGGTGCCGTTGACCGAAACACAACAGCTCGAAATATTTAGCATTTGACGCTCAAAAGTTACACGATCAAGACGTACGTAATCTCCTGGTAATATTAAGCTAACGCACCAACCCCCAACCACACCAACATGCGTACGTTATGCTACAGCACCTCATATTCAGTCAACACATATACACGCATAGGGCAAAGTGCAGCGGGATGTTGTACGGCTAGTAATAAATATTCGAAGCGTTGGCGAACAGAGAGGAAAACCTGCGAGAAATCGCCGTTATGATATGAATTAATACAGACATGAATTGCAGTCGAACCGATCAAAACAAAACAGAAAACAGAATATAGTGTCTGTGCGTAGATGACCGATAATCTATAATGTAAGTATATATGTATCTCTCTTTCACTCGATATATTTTTTTTTCGACGAGTAACTAAATTTACTCTAGAGAAAAGGCAACCTGTGCGTGACCCACCCATAGTGATCGAAAGATGAACACGCACGCACACACACACAAACGCACACGCACTTAGCGTTCGCCCTATTCGTCACCGATTGTTTACCGTCTATCTTTTTAACCAACAGAAACGCAACGCCACGTACTATATCCGCGCAATTTATTCCGACACCTGATCTCACACGTACATCTTATTCTGACAAAGAACACGTGCGACGACGACGCAAGTGCACCGCAACAACAACAACAACAACAGCAGCAACAATGACATCACTAGATACGGAGCAGCGACCAGCCTACGACGCAGACGACAACGCCTCCAAGAAAACCTCAACAATCATCATCGCCGCCGGCGTCACCTCCATTGTCATCTCCGCCCTCGGCATCGTCCTCGTGCTCGTCGCTGCGCTCGCCGACGACATTGACGACGACGCCGAGGATGTTCTCTGGCCGGTCGGCTGGACGTTCGCCGTCCTCGGATGCGTCGCCTTCCTCACCGTCGTCGGCACGCGTATCTGGTTGGAGCGCAGTGCGCTGCAGACGCAGCAGCAGCAGCAGCAGCAGCGGGAGCGGCAGGAGAACAGCATCAACGAGAGCAGGAGCGCGAGGAGAGAGAAGGGCGCCAGCGCCGCAGCGGGAGGAGGAGCCGACGTCATCCGGCAGTCGGGATTCGAGATGTGAGTTTTGCGGGGCGGCGGGGGAAGACGGGAGGGATGATGAGAGGAGATGTAGGGGAGGAGGGAGAAGAGGGGGAGGACGGGAGGGATGATGAGAGGAGATGTAGGGGAAGACGGGAGAAGAGGGGGAGGAGGGAGAGGAGGGGGAGCACGGGAGTGAGGGGGAGGACGGGAGGGATGATGAGAGGAGAGGGAGGGGAGGAGGCGGGGGATGATGAGAAGGAGGGGAGGAGGGAGAGGAGGGGGAGCACGGGAGTGAGGGGGAGGACGGGAGTGAGGGGGAAGACGGGAGGGATGACGAGGGGGAGGAGAGGGAGGGGAGGAGGTGCACAGCATGCGGCACGTTGTCATCAGAAACAGCATCGATAGTTACGACTGCCGTGAGCCCGGAAGATGTCATGTCTATTGCGCGGCACTTCGTTTCAAAAGTTGATAAGTTTTTGCGCCATTGATATGTTTCTGGCGACGGTCTCCTGGTAAATTGTATAAGGGGAAGCCTTTCCAACTGCATGCGTATCGCAGTGTTGATCTGTCGTTTGGATCAATGCTAGACGCTCCGCTTCTTTGTTACAGTTTCGTGGACCGTGAAGCATGTTATTTTAGGTCATGAGATCATTGCTGAGACTGTACTTTAGGTGATGAAGTTCAAATTCAGGATTTATCAGAAATAAACACTGCACCTACTTCGCCTATATTTCTACCTTTTATAGTCCAGTGCTTGTTGCAGTCGAATGCTGTTTACAGTACATGGTAATTATTGCGTGGGGAAAACAACAAATGAGTAAACTTTAATAATAAACAAGCTGAAATACCATTTGTATTTATATATAATATACGATATATTATATAATACACATATGTAACAACACTATTTGTGTTTGCTGCGTTGCAGGCAATCAGCGAAACCCGACAAAGAAGTGGCATACGAATATCATGAGGTGACCAGTAAAAATGAATGGAGAGAAAAAGATCAAGAAATGCCGTTACCAGAATCACCGACCGCGTATCTTGACATGTAAGTTTGGCAATGTTCGATGTTTTTCGCAACAAATATAACATATAGATTTTCCGTGTATTATGCAGATACGTGGAGCAGAGAAACGAATTTCTAAAATAACTTGCGTGATGTACCATGCAAGTTTAGAACAGGATATGTGGGTTTGCTTCCTATAGGCCTACGGGGGTTTATTCCATTGTATTTTTATCCAAGTCACATCAGCAGCATAACCCATATATGTACAGATATAAAATGCCGATTATATCACGAATAAATAATAATGCAGCATGACACCACAGAGTAAGGGGAAGTCTACATTTACTAGCTTTAGTCTGCTATAATATATCATGCGTAACACATTATTTCCACCTGATAATAGACACCTCCACATTCTGACCTGTAGCATCAATGGGCGAGGGCAATTGCTATTATCCGCCAGGGGTTCTCGAGCAAAACTAAATAATTATCTTAATGAATGTAAATAACCATAAAATAAATGTGATAAATAATATAACAAAGTTATCGAAGTTTTTAAGCCCATTTTATTCTTAAATGAAACTGTGAGATAGTGTGCCATTTCACGCCCAACATGTCTATTTAAAATGGAAATTTCCATTGGGTCAGGCAGAAAAATGTCTAGAAAATTGGCAGAAATCTGTCTCGAGATTCATATACCGAAGTACATATCTTCAGGAATTTGCCGGGAATTTTCCGTTTCCAGATTAGTGATTCCGGACTAGACCATATTCCGGAATAGTGATAAGACTATTCCATATTCAGGACTGCGATATTTAGGCCAAATATAATTTTTGTCCTTCGCATCGTTCAAGCAACAATTAGTCAGCAAACATTTCGCACTAAGCAAGTTTCATTGACTCGATATGCTGACACGCTAGACATGCGCTCAGATTTTACACAAGGAGACTTATTCCCGGGCAGGAACAGTTTCCTTTCTCGCGATATTGCTATTGATGGATGCCGACCATTGTAACACCGTTTCCGTTATTATATGGAACATATATCAAATACAACCACCGTTCGTAATGCATTTATTCACTATCTTTCACATTAACACATCACAACAGAATTAAAGAAACACACACATATCACACCCAGGACAAAGTATCATTAAGAATTTTTTGTTGTTGATAGGAGTATGTCAAAAGCAACAGGCAAAGAGCTGGCGAAGTCAGCAGACGAAGATGTCGTTCCGTCAGCGCCGAACATCTATCAGAACCACACGAGTAACTACGGAGTCGAAAACTTATACGAAATACCAAAATAGATCGAATCATTTTACTTGCCAGTATCTATCTTTACGTCTTCTACTCATCTCTACGCTTGTTTTTATGACACCAAATTGTGCACGTGTTATCGCGTACCATTAGCAAAAACAGAATAGAATAATTTTACTTGCCAGATCTCTATACGTCTAGTTGATGCTTGTTTTTATAATGACACCGAATTGTGCACGTGTGATCGCTTACTATTTAGCAAAAATAGAATAGAATTATTTTACTTGCCATATCTATCTGTATAGATCATGCTTGTTTTTATAATGGCACCGAATTGTGCACGTTTTAACGCTTACCATTTAACAAATGAATGAAACAAGAACATACATACATCAATACATAAACTGCATGCTAACAACAGCTTTATTCACTAAGAATGCTTAGTTATACAAGTCGCTGCTCCATTGAAAGAATATAGGGCCAGAGTCCTACATTAAACATGAAACTTGCATTCATCAACCTACCGTGATACAGCCGTTAATATATATATATATATATATATATACACGACAAGTAGTTATACTACTTTCACTCATACAGTAACAGCGTGAATTACTGATAACAAGTACTCGTAGACGTTGCTTTAATTTAGTAACCGCAAATGGTGACTTTTCCACTTTAACTATGAATATATCTAACAGAATCTTCACACTTCATTCACATTCAGTGTGAGTTCATGGTGCAGATATGTTCGTGTTTCAACTCGTCGGCAGTAGCAGAAGCAGTCAAAATAATAAGATCACTTTGTAATTTACCAGGACCCATTACGCAGTTTGATGAATGCAAGAAGAATAGCAAACGCAACAAATGGATTACTATACTACACTATCTATCTAATCGTAGAGTAACGGCCTGGTTCTTAGATTATTTTATAGGTAGAAAGAAAATAGCAGCAGGCAAAAAAGCGAAGCGAAACGAACCAAAATTAAAATAATTGAGAAGATTATTTCTGGGAAAGTAAAGGAAAGGCAGAAATAACACAAGGTTACAGAGTTCCTTTTACACCTTCAGGTCTGAATTAACAATCCCCCCCCTAGGTGCCATACACTACCAATGACGCCCCCAACCCTTCATCTGGTTCTATTCGGTCTTTGCATAATTATATCATGGAGAGAGGGTGGGTTGGTCCCACTTTGAGGATGTATTGAAGTTTGAACACAGGCTCTACGTAGGTAGTGTGTGGGAGGAAAAATGGTGGCGGTACATGTTGAACTTCAGACTGCGGACTCCTTCATTTTGCTGCGGACTACCTCTTTTTGAGGGAAGGGCCTGGATGATGGACTCCCTTGTTCAAAAGTTAATTTCTACCCATGTGAGGGTGTCAGTAGGTGACTACTGGAGTAGTTTCACGGAATAAAGTTATGCAAGTTTCAAAAATAAATAAAAAAAACTATGCAATGTTTGTGCTCTTTATGCAATGATTTGCCCTATTTTACAAGCTGATACAAGTAGGTACAGAGTATTGTGCAGTAGGAATGTAAACCATAGGCTGCTCACTAATTAATAATAAAACATGAACAAACGCTATTAGTGTGGCATTTTATATAAACGTGATTCCGTTTGTGTATGAATAGAATTTTATTGAATATTTACGAATATATTATGGCTAAAGAATTATAGTTTTTTTTAATGAAAACTGGGATATCATTGGTATGAGGTGCCCTTCGCATTTTTTGTATCATGTCAATTGTATTACCTTAAATATATGCTATCAGTGATCGACCTAAACGCACATGTAAACACGCTGATCTTCCTATGTCATTGCTAAAATATCCCATAATTTGGCTGCTGTTTTATGCAAATCAAGAATAGGAATTATGCGCGTGTAACAACAGTATTAATACAATGTCGTTTACTTTTAGTAAAACATTGTTTATTGTCAACTAATGTGTACTATATTGTATGTATAAGATGCTTCAAAATCACTTCCAACACATCCATTCGGCTTAATTCTATCAGATGAACCTATTCAGATTTATTTCAATCACAGCATTACATAGAGATTGGTAAACCCAAAGTTATGAGAGGTAATTATGGATCTCAATAAAAGGAAGAGAAATACTTTTCACCTAGAGAAATCTGATTACTTACTATTTTGTATTAATTCATTTGGTATTTTACCATATACAGTCAGTAGTACTAGCGATTATAATCTTTTGGCCATGAGCAGTATCTTACTGCTCCTGGCCTTCATCTACATGACACTATGCAAGAGCTGCCATTCACCACACAGACATACAGCACACGATTTCTGACAAGCAATAACCATAACCTACGTTCTCTATCGAGTAACCAACTTAATCCCGCTGACGAAGTGTACGTAAAATATAGTAGCAATAATAAACGTGTAGAAATTTATTTATACATACTGTATGTAAATATACATACACGCACGCACGCATGCACACACACACACACACACACACACACGCCTAGACACATACATATAGTCACACAAACACGCACGCACGCACACACACGAACACAGGTGCATGCTTAGCTGAGGAGCCGTGGAAAAGTTCATTTCTACCCATGTGAGGGTGTCAGTAGGTGACTACTGGAGTAGTTTCACGGAATAAAGTTATGCAAGTTTCAAAAATGAATAAAAACTATGCAATGTTTGTGCTCTTTATGCAATGATTTGCCCTATTTTACAAGCTGATACAAGTAGGTACAGAGTATTGCTTTAGCTTAGAAAATTAAAACTTTGAGTTTAAAAACTAAAATCACTATTAACAGACTAAAATTATTGAAGTTATTAACTCGACAATTAATCTCTTCAAACATTGCACACTGATGAAAGTCACAGAATTTGAAATTGCCCCACACTAGAGCATATTTGCGTCCTCATTTTAATTGCAGCCAAATTGGGAGGAGAGGTATACAGCACTTCACTCCCATGTGGTTTTCACAACCTATGTGCTTATGTGCATAGACATACGCTAGTCCTTGAAGCGGACAGGAGGACGACTTCTTCTCTCCGGTTCGTTTTCGACTGTCTTTCTTTGGTACTCCTCAGACAGGCGTCCTCAGGGGTGCTTGTTATTCGGATGTCCTGGAGGGCTCCTTTGGTGGTCTGCCTTGATGGGGGTCCGTCTAATCTAGGCATTCAGGTTCCGTAGCTCTCCTTTGGAATGGTTTGAAGTTAGAGAGACATTTCCGTGTCACACTGTAAATCCACCCCTTGTTGCAGTTTACCATGGCAGCCCTACCTAGCGGTGATGGTCAGAGGCCTGAGCGGTCGAATGCGAGTGGACAATCTTATTACGGTGCGGCGCTGCTTGACCAGTACTGTGTCGCCTATGCGAGAGTGGCGCAGACTTTGGCGTTCTTGCCGGCTGTCGTAATAGGCCTTTAGCCTTAGCCTTTTCTCAGCTTCGTTCTGTTGTCTTGCATGACGCTTGGGACGTCCAAAAGAAGCAACAGCTGGTAGCGCTGCGTGATGGCAAGGCTGCTTGCGTCCTGATTTGCTTTATTATAGGCGCTTCGCGCTGGAGAACAGCAGTTACGTGGCAATGCAGGCATTGCCCTCATGGTATTGCTCTCAGGAATGTTTAAACTTCCTGCCCTTCCAACTTTCTGTGGTCAACATGAGCAGCTCTGATGGACTTTCATTGCGGAGGGCTCATGAAATGTTCAGCCTCCCCGTTGGCTTGCGGCCATAGCGGCACTGTGACAGCGTTCTGTGCCTGAATCCAAGCGGTTTGGCGAACATTTTGAAGTCTTCGCTGTTGAAAGGTGCGCTCCAGATGTCAGAATAGACAGTTTCTGGCGATGCCACTGTCTAGCCGAACATTGCGTCTAACTGTGGCGTATAACAGTCTTTGCCAGAAGTTGATGACTATAATTCTCTACCTCAGGGAAACGACTGTTAGTTGTCCTATGGCAACCAAAAAGCACATCATGGACGGAAGTGGCGCCAAGAAAGTCAATGGAGATTTCTTTTCATGGGCCCGCCCAGGCCAACTGCTCTAGGCCTTGAGCGTCTGCCGTGGGCTGGAATGACTGCCGAAAAGCATGCCTGACATGGTAGGCGCACATGTTTTTACTCTAGTGTCTTCGGCGATGGAGTCTATTGTTTAGCGGAACCAAACTTTTTCCCGGAAGCCAGCTGTTTTTGGTTTGGACTATTCCCTGGTGCCGCCTGCCATGCGGCGAGGACTAACAAGCTTGGGCATGGAGACTGGACGTCGCAGTACTATTACGTGATCCACTCGGAGGATGCATATCTCCACAGACTGTTGTCTTGCCTGACTTTCTTGAACTTTTTTGGACCAGGGGCTGTTCCCTTGCCCATCCGCGATGCGATGTTCATACTGCTTGGAGCTTTGCGTGTCTGTTTTAGTTTTCCTTCTGCACTTGCCTCCATTAGTTCATTGCTTTTGGCACAGCATTCTTAGCAGACGTAATTAACAAAGTCCTCAGCTCTGTCAGTCTGGCATGGTGTTTTTGAGCATGGGTGGCGCACTCAGCGTAGTCGCAGGATCTTGTCATCTTACCGCGGACGTATTTTAGCCCTGGAAGTTGTAGCGGTGCTGAGACGGAGGTCTTCAGCGTTTCTATTGTCGTGCTGTTGCTGGCCTCTGGCTTTTGAAGATACGATTAGTGGCTTGTGCAATCGGAGGATGGCTTGGAAATGCAGAGCCCCATAATAGGTAAAGTGGAAGTGTCTGCTACCCCATTACAGTGCGCCACATCTCTCGCCAGTCTGGGAGTAATCGTCGTTCCACGTCGGTTAACGCTTGCTGGCGTAGCTGACTAATCTTTCCGTCTTGAGTCAGTATTTGCCTCGAGGCCGGTGGCCGCTAGCATCAACCATCAGATCTGAAGTCTTTGTGTGGCCGTCGAAGTACAGTCATTATCTGTGCTGACGAGAGGCGCTTGCTTCAAGCTTGTTGAAGCTTCGGTGCTGGCTTTCTTCCATTGCCATAGGGCATCTTGGCAGAGTCAGCTGCTCTGAGTTGCGTGTGGTTGACGCGTAGGCCAAAGTTAGCGCATGAACTCGGCGGGCGCACATATTGCAGCCATGCCCGGAATGATCTTAATTCCGCCAGCGTTAGTAGGTGGACTGGCCACATTTGTTTATTGGCTTCAAATCCTTTTAGGATCTGCTCTAACACCTATTGCTGCTGAAGATCTGACAGCTAGAAATGTCACAATGCCTGGCGACATTTACACTTGTCTGTTGAGCTTGGCATTCACCGGGCGATAGGCGGTGTAGAACAGTGTGTAAGCCGCCTGCATCATGTTCGGCTGGTCTTTTGCCGTGCCCACCACAATATCGTCTGAGCATATTCTTGACACCAGGAATGTCGCGTATCGTCTCCCTCTACAGCATTCTGAACTATTTCGGATGCTGCGCTTTATTCCAACATCAGTCTTTTGTATCTTGCTACAGGGCGACATTGTGAGCTAAAGGTGGTCTGGATTGGCGCTGCTTCGGGGGTCTAGCCTCAAGCTAGGTGATACCCGGAGGCAAGATCTAAGGTGCATGAAGACGGTTGAGCCATTTAGGTCTGCTTATAAGGTCGCTCTATTGTCGGCATGGAGCAGTGTTTGACTCTCTTAACTAGCTTGTTGCCCTCTCTCATATCGACACACAGACGGACTTCGCCACTTTTCTTGGCACCACGACAAGTGGACTGGACCCATGGAGTTGGTCCTTCGGCTTTCTCTATGATGTCAGGTCCTCAAGCGCCTTGAGCTCTTCTCCCACGTCTTTCTTGATGTGAAACGGAATGCCCGTCGCTGAGGTTGCTGTTTAGGCTGTACGGTCTCATCGATGTGGAGGGCTCACAACTTGTGCGGAATTTTCCTATTCCCTCGAAGAGCTCTGGGCTATTCACCATACTATTTGCTGTGTGTAGCGGTCACGCAGAAGGCCTTTGATTTGTTCCCTCACATTCTGAGCTTAGTGCACATGCGATGCGAGCGTCCTGCTGCAGTCTCATTGCCGAACTAAGGAGGTTGCCTCTTATACTTTAAGCGACTGTGAATACGCTGCTGCACGTTGTTGACAGCTCTTGAATGACATCAGCGGCTGTGCGTACCCCTAGCATAGGCAGTGGAGTTGATGCATCCATTATGGGTATACCCAGCGACGTTGGCTGGCTCGAGTGCTTGGCAAAGGCAGCCGGAGTTTCTCATAAGTGTCTGAGCTCAAATGATGCTAGACAGCAGGCGCTTGCTGCTCTATTGTCATGGTGATGACTGATATGCCAATCCTCACGGAGCGTGTTGGAAGGTCTGCTCGTGCGCCCGGCTTGTTTGGAAAGGATATGCCTCGCACTGGCGGTATGGCAACTTCATGAGCGGTGAGGCATAGTCTGTGTCGTGTCGTTGTCTGGTTGGTGTTGGCCGATTCCATGTTGAGCTGACCTGTGCGCGTATGGTGGCCTCTTGTCTCGTGCGCTGTCCATTTCTGTCACGCGAGATCTGCCATACTCTGGAAAAGTGTCAATCTTAAGACAGGCAACTGCCAGGTTTTCCCTCTGGCCAGGGCAGCCGAGAGTGCTGATGCTTGCGTGAGCCACAGTTAGTCACGACAACCCTGACTTTTCCTGGCACCCTGTCGATTTGCTTACTCTGGCTGTAGCCTGGCGTCGCACTATTCTACCACCGTGACATGGACGCCCTCTGTTGGGGCGCGGCCTGTTGTATACGGCGATGCTGCACATTTGTTCTGTCGTTGGATGTGCATACACGCGAGGCAGTAGGAGGGTTGGTGTGAGGTCTCTACTTTTTGTGGCCTGCTAAAATTTCACTAATCTTCTAGTGATCTGGCAAGTTTACAAGCTTCATCAGCCTCTAAATCTCCTCTGAGTGCCACGGACGTCTGAGTGGCTGAGATGAACTAGGAGAAAATAACTTTGATTGGCTTCTCCTTTCTGCTCAGAAAAATCACATTGATTCGCCATGATAGTCTCGCTAACGAAAAGTGTTCAATTTATTCTTCACCTTCGAGTTTGTGGCTGCCTGCCTGAATGTTATAACTTCGAATGCTGTGTTTTTCTTTGCGCGTGAAGTAGCGCAGTGAGAGATCTTCGATCGTTGGTAAACATCGTGATTTTACAGTCGCGGT